CTGTGTGTGTTTGTGTATGTGTATGTGTGTCCTTCAGCATAATTCAGTGTGTCTGCCAACTACCACATGTTTATGACAGCTGGATAGTGACAGCTAGACTTGTTTTTGTGTCACAAACTGCCAGAAGCTCATGGCAGATACAAGATACACACACACACACACACAGATACAAGTATGCAGATATAGACTCCGAGTGAGTAGGCTCATTTGTGATTCTTAGAGCTGGTCTTAGACTTAGACTCTTAGACTAACTTTAAGGCATAAGATAGTATTTTTTTCAGACAGGTTTAAGGTTAAAAAAATTCTGTCAATTTACCAAAGAATGCGGCGTAAGTGATGGTGCGTCCTGTCCTCTGCCTCTAAAGTCATGGTCCATGAATGCACCACCATGACTTGGCCTTGTCCTCACGGGGTTTTTGGCCGGACAAACCACAGAACAGGCTGCTTGTTAATCATTGTTCCTGTTTTTTGAGAAAGTCTGTGCCTTTGTGTCACTAAAGTGATGGGAGTGGAGCAGTGCCAGAGTCAGGAAACAATAATAACCAGAGTTCATAATTGAATTTGTTTCTTTGGCCTCAGGACAAGTGGAGGAGTAGTTCAAAGAAAGTAAATAGATGAAAAAAAATCATATATATATATATATATAAAAATAATAAAGCAGAAGAATAGAGGGGCAGGGAGGAGGAGACCTCTCCCCTTGACTTCCACTGACACAGGATGACAATAGAGACTGTCGTCTCTCTGAATCAGATTAGCCCGTTCTCTCTTTCATCATTTTTAGATGCCTTGACCATTTGTGGGCAATAATGCTATTAAACCAGAGTTGGGTCTAAGAATGAGGAAGAAAGAAAAAGACACAGAGGAAAAGAGAGGAGAGGGAAAAGGAAAAGTGCATCACATATTAGGACTGATTGGACAATAACCAAAGATTATTAACTAGGTAAGTTACAGTGGACACACTGGACTGTACTATATAGTGTGCGGGGGGGGGGGGGGGGTTTGATGATTCAACACACGACAGTCCAGCCAGGGGAGAGAGTTGAACCACTGGGGCAAAAGATAACAACTAAATTTTCCAGCTCTCTGCAAAGATATATCTAAAATGAAAACAAACTACAGCTCATAGACAGGATTTGTTTAGATATGTTCACACTCACCGACCACATGTAATCAGCTGGGAAAACATTGTTATTTCCTGGCACAATATGTGACAAACACTGTGCGAGCACACAAACACGCCGTTACAAGAGATGTCATTAACGAGTGTGATTTTTGAGCAGGTTGTTAAAAGTAATTACAGGGTGGAGAACTTCAGAAAAAAACATCTTTATAAAAAGCTGTTTCTCACATGAAGTGTACACTTTTGTCAGCATTTGCTGAAGAACCACTCAGTGCCCTATTCAGCACCAGTGTTGTGGATCATTAAGCAAAACAAGAAGCACTTATTGGCTTCAAACCCTCAACACAGCATGTTCACTGATGTGTTTTTGTTCTGAGACGGTGAGGTTGCAAGTAGGGGGCAGCAGACAGATGGAGAGCACGTGTACACAACATACATTAGTATCCTGCTACATGGAGAGAAGAAAAACAAAAAAATATAATAAATTATACCGGAAAACAAGACAGGATATTTGAACACATATTGAGATACCTGAAAAAGACCAGCGGAGGGAGAAAGCGGCGAGGAGACAATGTAAAGTTGCCGACAGATGGTGTGAGGTTCGGAGCCAAGTCACATGACAACATAACTGCACTGAAAGGAAAGAGCTCCTTCAATTGTAGGCCTTCTCGTTGTCTTTATTAGAGGCTGTCATCCATATAAACAGCTGGAGAATTGATGCTAATGCTACGGTACAGTAGCACATGAACCAGTGCAGACTCTCCCTGACCTTTGGATAGAGATGAACAGAAATATAAAGATTAATTCACTGTCATCACTGCACATGTAACACTAGGGATAAAGCCATCTGACTCTTTAAATCCTGATACTGAGACTTGAGTTTTACATATCAACAGACACCTGACATCACCCAAATAAAATTGTTAGATACCATACTGTATTCTTTTAAGTATTATAATCACTGAATGGCAACAGAGATCAAAAGTGTCAAATTATCTTTGAAAGTTTAGGATTATTCTTGGACATTTTATTTGCAGTATTTCACCTGGCATTCTGTGACTCTTGAGTCCATGGAGATTTGTTTGTTTGTCACTGTTAAGACCTCGAATGCTGTCTCCAGACTGTTTATGTTTTATGTGTGGACTGGACTCTCGTGTACAGTGAGAATTTGCAGACAAAGCACTGAAGTATCCCCTGTAGTGCTGCTGGTGACGCACATACAGCGACCACGCAGCATAATTAAAATGTATTACTCCAATATCACAGCAGAACCTAAGGCATACGTTGAGATAAACACAATGTTTGAGATAATATTTAAATATTCTTTAAATCTATTTATTTGAAGATGTATTATGTATTCATGGATGCTTTATGTAAGAAGCTGCCCACCAGTCAGTGATTGTCCTCCTCCTATTGTCCTATTCATAATGAACCAGACATTTTATTATGAGATAATTTTGGAATGAAGGCCAAAGAAGCACGCACTATTGTAATTTGTACAATAACTCATTTTCCTGCTTCCATTGTTCCTTCCAAAAAAATAGTGTCATTACAGGAGAATGTGATCATCGCCATGGTTACTGATCCATACCACTGGTTTTGACGACAGTGTGGATAGTCAGTTTTATTTTTGGAATAATATATATAAAATATAAAATATAACATAATATAATAAGGCTGCCGCCCAGCCTCCTCTGCACATACACAGTTATGCTATGTAAATGTTTAAAATACAGTATGACATTATTTTTTTGTTTAGTTTTGTTTTTAAAAGGCAGAATCTGTTGGAAATATATCTTCAAAGCTTCAATATCATGGACACGGCACCAAAAACACAAAGTACTGTCATTGATATCACAGTAGAATGTAAATTGTATTGGTGTTTTACTCTTAACCACTAACATATTTGAGTTTCAACAGAAATATGTCTTTGTTCTTGAGTTTGAATTTCCTTTGAATTTTCCTTTTAGTGTGTCTCGTGGTGTGCTGCCTCAGATTGAACTGTCTGGCTCCTGAGAGGAAGTGAAAACACCATGTTCCACTCACTGTCTCATTAGTGTGATGTAAAAGGGAGGCAGAGACATGAGTGTGAAAGGAGAGGATGATGGACAGGAGTGTTCAGAGGAGGCTGCTGGGACTCAGCTCTTCAAGAACATGAACAGTGGTTGATATTGATGACACTCTTCTCCTGTGTAGCGCTGAGTGGATTACAAACTCCTACTGTAAACAGAGCCTGCCTGAGCCTCATTTAGATCTCACTGTTTTTTTGTTTTGTTTTTGTCTTTCTTTTAGTCTTTAACACAGGCTTTGTGTTAAATTAATTTGGTGGAAACAGAATCCTTCTGGTGTTTATAATTACATTTGGTAAGGAAAAAGACGAGTGATAGTGATGAGCGTCAATAATTTCATTAAAAATACACTTAAATGGCCAAACTGCTCCATTTTGTTGCTTTGGTGAGAACATTATAAATTAGAAAATTAGTGTTTGTCCGAGCATGAAGTAAATGTTTTATCTAAATATTTTTTTCAGGGCTGGTGATAGCCTCCATCTTTCTGAGGGTTCGTGTCTTGTGAAGCTTCTCTGGGGTCTTTGTTCTTCTCCTTCCTGTCTTTGAGTTGTCTCTACAGCGTCTTTGACCATTATATCAGCTGTCTTTCCTCATTACACATTCAGACAAATCCGACACAATCTTGTCTCTCAGTTCATCCTGGACTGCAACCTCCTTCATCCCTCTGATACTGTATGTCCATTTCTCACCCTGTCCATCTCCACTTCCAATTAGAAACACAAACAGACACACTGTCTCCTAACCATACATAAATGTGGCCAGAATTCCCAAGAGTGGCTGGAGCCAATCCCAGCGATCGTTAAGCAAACGCGGAGTCGTGCCTGGAGAGTCCACCAGTCCATCAGTAGACCACAAATAAAGACACACTTCACTAATTTGCACTGATATTTATGGTCAATTCAAAAAGAAATAAATTGTATATATACTACAAATAAATAAATAAATAAATTACCATAAATAACCATAAATAAAAACACACAGGAGTGTATGTGTATATTTGTGTATATGTATAAATATGTATGTGTATACCTATGTATGTGTAGTATATATGTATATACATATATAGAGACAGAGCATTGGGTCCATGATGACTAACATACACAAAGAATAAGTGAATTAAAGAATACAATTTAAAATGATCTTAGTTTGACAGCAACATATCTGAACCAGAGAGCGCTCATGGGCGTTTTGTAACTCTTCTTCTACATGACTACCAAACTGATGACTTGTGAGGTGGAGGCGGTGGTTGTGGGACTTGATCTGGAGCCCAAACCGTGAAGCTTGACTTTTACATTTTAATGATCCTGACTTCTGAGCAGCAGCAGGTTGAATTTAAAGTTCAGGTCAGAGATCTAACGCCACGTGTTCTGTCAAATGAGGCTCAACCTGACGTCTCATCCACACAGGCACAAACTCCTTGTCTGGCGTGTGTCTGCGTTCCACGTAGAGCTGATGTACTAATGATGATGCCGTTAACATATGTCTCAGCTTCATGAGCGAGCAGCGAAATTACCTTTCATGTTGTGTTTACACTGCCTGACTTCAAAGTGTTTGTCTATTTTTAAGGAATATATGTTTTCCCAGGCTCAAACTCATTAAAGGTGCATTATGTAGAGTATATCCCTTGAAAGCATTATGGCTGCATACACTGCTTTGATACATGAGAAGATTGCTTTGAAGTGAGAAACTCTCTCTGTCCCCCGATTCCAGCGGCCCTCGTTCCCAGTCATCATTTTTTCTACTACATCTTCTCCGTTCCGTACAATCCTCTTCATGTTGCTAAATCTTCCTTCTTCTCCTTCTTTTCTCAGTGGGGCGTTTGTTGATTGAGTTCAGTTCCCAGATGACCATGGAGCGAGTGCAGAAAGAAAATCCCAATGTGACAGAGGGAGGCCGCTACACCCCTCCAGACTGTCGGCCTAGATGGAAGGTCTGTAAATGTGCCCCTTACTTTTTGAATTTCATGCACCCGTGCACACACTGTGTGCATGTCGAGGACGCTCAGAACACAGAAGATTGCATGTATCTGCCTCCATATTCTCCTCTCACACTGACAGCATAAACCACATGTGACATTTTCACTTAAAGTGCGTAGGAATGGAGAACAAAGGCCGGGAATAAAAAGGCCATCGGGCTAAATTATTTAATACTATAATAATTAGGTCTACCTTTTATATTTTATTCATCTATAGTCACTCTGGTTCATCTTCTCTACTTTGTTTTCAGATAAAAAAAATATATATATATATATAAAGTCTTGGGTAGTCTGTACTGTAGTGGTTTGAAGCTGGGGCTTGTGTAGAACTGCCAGTTTGGATCCCAACCCCAGCAGAGCTGTGATGTGCTGAGTAGGCAACATCATTTCATTTCATCTGTTCAGTCGTGCCGAGAAATCCAACCTGTCTGCTGATCATTTCCAGAATGTTCCAACAAATAATCATTAATTTAACAAATCACTCACCAAACTGTTTCTGTGCAGGTGGCCATTATTATCCCGTTCCGTCACAGGGAAAACCACCTGAAGTACTGGCTCCACTACGTCCACCCCATCCTCAGACGGCAGAGGATCGACTACGGCATCTACATCATCAATCAGGTACAGCAGCCCACATTTGTTGGTTATGGATTGATTTGTGGTTGTATGGTTTCAGCAGACGATTGCTAAATTAATACAAAATATAAAAACAGACACGGATGCATCGTATGCATGTGTATGTAGATTATTTTTCCAATCACATTCCCATTTTAGAGCATCATCAGTGTATTCTCTGAGAATTCAGATAAATGATTTTTCCAGGTTGAAGTACCTCAGGGCTTCTGTTTCTTGTTCTACATATAAACAGCTTTCTTGTCTGGGTTTGTCCCTCTACTTGTCTGAGGTCAGTAAGAAGATTGAAATTCCTTGTTGGTCGTAAAAGGTGGCAGGTAAACAAACAGAACAGAACGGAACAGACAACAGTGAGTCAGAGCAGTGGCATTTTGACGACGAGAGAACTTGATGTAGCCGACATGACGGCCGATTAAACTTTTGCACCAGGCCCTGCACTCGCAGAGGATGTCGGAGAGCACTCTGCCATCGTGCTCATTCAAGTGTTAAATGAGTGAAAGGCTGGAACCTTTTAACACCGAGGGACAGTGAGGGAGAGGTGAACGGCAATCATTTTCCCCTTTCAGTCGCCTTGCTAACAGATAATGGCTGTCAATTCCTCAGAGTAAAAAAGAAGTGGCCCTTTGGGGATTTGAAAAAAGTGACCTAGTTACACCTGGGCACACACACACACACATACACAGGATATACAGAATACATTTCCACTACTTTAAAGGTGTAAAGTAGTGGAAGAATGTTTTGTAAAAAAAAAAAAAAAAGAGGGGTTTACTGAATGATTCACTTTGAATCCTCAAAGATCATTAAAAACTAAATAATATATATATATAAATATATTTAAAAGAATGTTTTGACTGCAGTACCACTACTGGCCAACGGGTCCTTAAAAAACCCCTTTTTTACTTGGTCAAGGATAATTGTGCAAGCTGGGAATTTCTAAAATTCAACCAATCACAAGGCTTGTTTGTTGTTGATTTAAGATGTTGGAGCTTTAGGGGCGTGGCTAACACCACCAACATGGCTGCCACTCTGTAAAAGGCTGTGAGGAAGTAATAAAAGGAAAGAAAAGGAATGGAAGGTGGCTCTTAAATGATCTTTACGTAAATCTTCCAGGGTGGCAGAAGGGGGTGGAACCGATCCCATCAGTCATCAAGCAAAGGCCAGGACACACCCTTGACAGTTAGCCAGTACATCACTGAGTTGTCATCCATTTGTCCACAAAACACAGTGTAAACACCAAACAGTGTCTCCGTTTGTATAAGCACGGTGTCATGTGTTGGCTGTGTGTTTTGCTGCTCTGGCTAAAGGACATTTTCTCAGTTGCTGTGTTTGGGAACAGTGTTGGCGGTGCTGCGGGTGAGGGACAGTGCGTAGGCGTTGCAGAGGGATCATGCGGAAAGTGATGTAGCAACCTCGCTGTTCTGTCCTGCTGCTCTGTGTGTTCCCTCCTCCAGGACCACGGACAGCGCTTGTTTGTTGGCCTTCGGCTCATCGAGATGGAGAGGTAGAGAAAGTACAAGTAAAAATTAGTCAACATTAAACAAACCAGATGAGGAAGAGTGTGTGAGGAAGCAATGTTAAGACCAAAAGTCTAGAAGTAGCTGTACCTAAGCCATCTGCTGTCTTGAACACACACACACACACACACACACACACACAGACTGACCCTGGTTCTTGCTTCCACCTCAGGACACTCATGTGGAAGCTCAGACATTTCCCT